GACCCCATCCCGCTGCTTCTCCTCAGGGTCCCTGCCCCGCTGCACCTCCCCGAGGCTGGGATCCCCTCCCCGCTGCCCCTCCGGAGGGTCCCCACCCTGCTGCTCATCCCCCAGGCTGGGATCCCCTGCCCTCTCCCCAGGCAGACGCCCCTCTTTGCCCCGACTCTGTGCTGCCACTTTGTGTGCAGGGCCCCCCCGATCCTGCCCATCCCTGTGGCTGGCCCTCAGCCCTCCAGACTCCCCATATGGCCTCTGTAGGTCCCAGCCCCGGAGGAGCCCTGCTTGGCCGGGATCCGCCCCTGGCCGCCCCCCTTCCCAGGTCCTGCGGGGCCGGTTCCTGGGCAGAGTCTCCTCCCGGCTGGGCTTGTGGTGCAGCCAGGCACGGTGGCGCCGGTTGCGGCCCTTGCCCTGGCCCTTGCGGGCGGGCAGGGTGCGGCTCTGGGAACTGGGGGACACTGGGGTTGGGGGGGCGTCGTGCCGGGGTGGGCTGATTTCCAGGAGCTGCACATACTCCCCCTCCAGGCCCCCACCCTCCGCCTCCTGGCTCTCCCCGCCTGAGTGGCCCCCATCCCCAGGGCTGCGAGCCCCCAGCACCTCAGGGCTGGGGCCCGGCAGGCAACGGCGCCCCACCATGAAGCTGCCCTGGTGCACGAACTGCGGGCAGATGAGTTCGGTCCAGGGCAGGCGCAGAACCCGCTCTTCAGCTGCCAGCAGGCAACGCTCCAGCCGCCCGGCCCGCCGGTCTTTGTTGATGCCGTTCAGCCACTCGGCAGTGAAGAGGAAGGGGTAGGCGTCAGGCAGCACCGGCAGCTCCTGCACGCTGCACCCGTCCGGCGACAGGCACTTGAGCACCAGGCGGGGGGCACGGGACAGGTAGGGGGCCACCTGCAGGTAGAAGTCACCAGGACACAGCTGCTGCCAGGGCAGGGAGCTGAGCTGCACCACCACCTTCTCGTGCAGACAGAGCGGCCAGCCCTCGTGACAGAACACAAACCCGCTGTACTGGGCCTGACGGGAGAGAGAGACAGAGTCAGGGGGCAGCACAACCTGGGGCACCCGGTCCTGTGCCTGGGAGGCTAGATGTGCCTCTCCATGCACTGAGCCTGTAGCTAGGTGCCGGGCCTGTAGCCGCACACCCCTCCATGTGCCGGGCCCGCAGACAGACACACGTCCCCTCCACGCGCCGGGCTCGCGGAAAGACACCCCTCATGCACCAGGCCCACAGACAGACGCACACCCCTCCACGCGCCGGGCCCACAGACAGACACACGCCCCCTCCACACGCCGGGCCCACGGACAGATGCACGCCCCCTCCATGCGCTGGGCCCACGGACAGACGCATGCCCCCTCCATGCGCCGGGCCTGCAGACAGACACACGTCCCTCCATGCACCAGGCCCAACCCACAGACACATACCCCTCAACACTCCGGGCCCACACACACCCCCGCCTTCATGTACTGTGCCAGACAAACATCCTTGCACACACATACGCATGGATGGACAGATGGAGGCACAGACAGACTCACACAGGCCTCCTGTTGAATGCGTGCCAGGATGTGCTTGGCAGGTATAAGGAACTCAATGGTGTAGCGCAGGGCATCCTCCCGGTACGTCCGCTCCACCACCTCGAACACCTGCCCCAGCAGCGTAGGTGCTGTGGCCGCAAAGGGCGGGTACAGGGCTGAGAGCGTGTTCTGCACACAGTCCTCCACTGGCTCGGGCTCCTGTGGGGAAGGGCAACATGGCACTGCCCTAAAGATTAGCCACACTCCCCTCCCAGCTCAGAGATAGAACCCAGGAGTCCTGGTGCACAGCTCCCAGATCCCCTGCTCTACCCCACTAGACCCCACCGCCTCTCAGCTCAGAGAGAGAACCCAGGAGTCCTGGCTCCTAGACCCCCTGCTCCACCCCACTAGACCCCACTGCCTCTCAGCTCAGAGAGAGAACCCAGGAGTCCTGGCTCCCAGACCCCCAGCTCTAACCCACTCCCCTCCCAGACCTTGCCCAGCTGAGGCCCTGAGGCATGGGACGGCATTGTGCAGCCCGTACTAAGCAGCACAGCTCCCGTTACGGGCCAGGGCCCTGCCCACGCAGGGGTGACAAGCCCAGTCTGAGCTAGCGACTGCGTGAGTGCAGCTGGGCTGGGCCAGGGGGCTGGGAGCCGAGTACAGGCCCCCGCACCAGCTGCAAGCCATTAACGGCACTGAGCTCATTCCTTCCGCAGCACACAGGGCCAGGAAACTGCTGCGGGGAGGGGAGAGCTCTGTCTAGACTCTGCTCCTCACACCCCACCAGCTGGCACCAGTGTCCCGTGAGGGCGGGGACCAGCTCTCGGCATCTATCCCCAAGTCCATATCCAACTCAGAGGGGGCCTGCCCCGCACAGACATCACCTCAGTCCTCTGCCCCCCATAGGGCAGGCACTGGTTAGAGTTGGGGAGCTGGCCCCTGGCCATCTAGCCCCATCGCCATACCCTGTTCAGGACAGCCCCACAATGCCCCAGCCCCCTGCTCCCCACAGCGCTGGCCATGAGTGGGGGAATTGGAGAGGGAAATCTCTACTGTAGACGGAGATACACAACTTCCCAGTGCTGCGAGCTTCCTTGTGACAGTGCCCAGCTGGGAACTCCAGGTGATGCGAGCTTCCCCACACAGTGCCCAAATGGGGACCCCTGTGCTGCAAGCTTCCCCGTGACAGTGCCCAGCCATGGACCCCTGGCCCCAGGGCGATCCCCACCACCCAGCCCCCACCAGAATGACTCTCTATCAGACAGACAGATGCGCCCCTTCCAGTGCCCCCCCATCCATCTCCTATACAAACACAGCTCACAGGAGTGTCTCCTCCCAGGACTTGACATTCCCTGTGTGTGGGACGGGAGCAAGGACAACCAGAGAATCCAGTGAAATCCTGGGATAGACATGGAGGGGGAGGCAGTGGACCCTTGATAGCTGGAGAGTTCTGGCCAGAAGAGGGGTGGATGGGGGGTACCTACGGAGCCCTGGCCGGGCGGAAGGGATGGAGGGGGGTAGGGGTTCTGAAACAATTTTTATACTGGGGGTGCTGAGAGCCATTGAACCAAACTGTAAACCAGGTATATAATGGAAACCTCTTCAAGCCAGAGGGTGCGGCAGCACCCCCTCACCCCTAGTTCCATCACCTATGGAGGGAGGCACCCGGGAAACCCTGGCCAGGCCGAAGGGATGGAGGGGTGAGCACCCAGTGAGCCTTGGCCGGGAGGGGACTGGATGGGGGATACCCGGGGGCCCATGGCTGGGAATGGGGGCTGGGTGAAGGATACCCAAGGAGCCCTGGCTGGGTCAGGGCTGGGTGGAGGATATCCAAGGGGCCCTGACCAGGTTAAGTTGGATGGGGGGTATCCAGGGGCCCTGGCTGGGCAGGGGCTGGGTGGAGAGTACCCAGGGGGACCTGGCTGGGGAGCGGATGGGGGGGTACCCGGGGGGCCCTGGCCGGGCGGGGGCTGGATGGGGGGTACCCGGGGGCCCCGGCCGGGCGGAGAATACCCGGGGGCCCTGGCCGGGCGGGAGCTGGATGGGGGGTACCCGGGGGGGCCCTGGCCGGCCGGCGATACTGACCATGGCGCGCCCCGTGCGCTCCCCGCGCTCGGGCTCAAGCTGCTCCCCGTGCCGGGCGCTGGGGCTCGGCCCCCCATGGGCCGCAGCGACTCGGTCCCGCTAGACGCCTCCGGCCACCGGGCTGGACTGGAGCCGCTCACGCAGGACGGGGCCCCGCCAAGGGGGACGCCGAGACGCAGGCGGCGCCGGGCGGTGCCGGGCAGGGGAGCCGAGCCCCGCGCGACCGAGGCATGGCCGGACCGGGACCCCCCAGAGCCCCAATCTGCCCGGAACACCCCTAACCTGGCCTGGGGCCCTCCGAACCCCGATCGGCGCTCCCATGCACCCCTGCCACGGGAATAACCCTGATTCCGCCTCGGACCCCCAATGCACCCCAAGCCAGGAACCTCCAGCCCTAACTCCACCTGGAGACCCCCAAACCCACTGCGGACAGAGCCCACCAAGGGAGCCCCCAACCCTTACCCCACCTGCCCCCCTACAGCCCTGCATGGAGCCCCATACCGCCACCCTGGGGAAACCCTCAACATCAGCCCCACAAGAGGATCCCCTACCTGTGGGTAGTCCCTCATCCTCCCTGTCACCACACAGACCCTGCCCCATCCAGGGACCCCCCTCCCAACACACACCCTGTCCTATCCAGAGACCCCCCCCCCCCCCCCCCCCCCACCCTCCCCCCCTGCCCTCACCAGGGATTGCCACACACACTACACCCAGCCTAGGGATCTCCCCCCACCTCAGATTAGGAATTCTCAGCCCCCACCCCCGCTTCTCTTTCTATCTCATCCCTCGCTCCCAGTTTCAGGCATCTGTAAAAAACCCCATGATCTATTCTCTGGCCCTACCAGAAAATGGTGCCAGGGAATGTTTCCCCAGGGTGCTGCCCCACAGCTGAGGCCTGTCTCCCCCAGGGACCTTCACTCCAACCAGGAGACAACATAGCTCAGACCTCAGAGGGAAATAATCTGGAATAAGCTACAAAAGAGGAGAGCAGCAGGAGCGTGTTTGAAGTGGCAGGTGTAAGGAAGTGTCAGCTGAAGTAGTTTCCTGTTCAATGCTGTCTGACACCATGTTCCAGCTTCTTGCTGGTGCAAAGTACATCACCTGGGACTTGCTCTCACCCCAGGCACTCTGGGTGAGAAAGGCAGAGGCACCCTGCTGAGGGACAGGGGTCCAACTGAAGCCGCTTTGTGCTTCGCCTCTGAGTTTGGCCCGGTCTGTGACTAGAATCAGTAAACAGCTTATGGCGTCTGTGTGGTGGTCGGTGGTGGGTCCCTTTAGAGCAGCCCTATCCATGGACAACCTAGAGAAAGCCTCAGCCCAAGCAGGCCTGTTGACAATGCAGACGTAACTGTCACGGAAATGAGACAATGTGGGAATATTTAGTAAATTT